AACAACCATGATGTCAGGAGAGTGAACAAACGATATTCCTTTCAAATCTTCAACTTTAGTGGCCAAAAATCTTGCACTGATATTTATTAATTTAAGCTGACGCGGCTGTTTATTTACTAGTCACTGCACTTCGCGTGCCGTAGGAACTTTAAGTCGCGTGTTGTTTTCCTGGTCCCATGTATATACACCCCATTCTTTATAATCAGCTTATCATTGCGCAGAAATATTTTATCGTCTGGTGTTTTGTTATCCTTAACAGTCTGCCACAGCTGCTTTCGAACCGTCTGTATGCAAAGGGAATAATCGTTAGAGACTGATATCCTAGTTCCCTTAAGTTTGGCAGCGTTTTTCAACAATCTGATTTTTTCATTGTAGTCAAACAATTTAATGATCACTGAACGTGACTTCATTTCCATTTTACCTCCAAGTCTATGTATACGTTCGACGCTTGCAACTTTCACTCCTATTTTCGATTCAAAAATATTCTCAATTACGGCCTTTGTGATTGTTTCTAATGTTTCAGTTTCTTCCTGGGTAATTCCATAGGCAATTAAATTATTACGACTGCTGCGATTCTCTAAATCGTCGACGTTGTCGAATAACGACGCAACCTGGCACTTTAAGCTTTCAATGGTGGCTTCACACTGTTCAAGTTTTGGGAGAAAAGGCTTCCATTCTTTGCTCAATTGATGCAAGACTCTCGTTAACAGAGGCAGCTCTAGCCTTTGCTCTATAGGCGCCAGGCGTGCCGTCATAGGCTGCTGGCTTAAGAGAATTGCCTCCAACTGCTCGCTTACGGTCGGACCTGCATTGAACTCAACGTCTCCGCTCAGGAGAAGAATTAAAAGACAGAGCGAATCAAAACATCCAGCCACACATTCACACAACACGGCCGGGCAAGGTGGCACTAGCAAACAAAAATAGTCACTCTTGACTTCACAGTTGAGAAACTGCTTACGCACCTGCAGAAGATGCAAGAAGGGGTTTTTTGGTGGCCGCATTGTTGCCGTACCAGCTTGTACACTCTAATATTTCCCTAATATTGAAGCAGCGCCCCGTGAACTTAACTCATCGTGTGGCTTAGACAGGGCGTAGATCTCTGAAGAAATTCTTGACAGGCTTTTAAGAGGAGAAGGATAATATACATTATTCGTTATGATTCTAGTTGACGCTGTTATCAAGATAATGGGTAAACTCATTACTTAGTTTGGTTCGTACAGGAACTTTGCACTATGACATCAAAAAGTAATGAGTTTAAGTCGCCTCATACATACATGAATTTCGAGTGGAGCCTGTTGATCGAATGAGGCCTTCCTACCGCCCCGCTGTAATATTCTGTGATGCAAGAAACGCTGAAGAGGCCGGATGATTCTAGTGATTTTTATTTCGAGTGTTTAGCTTAAACGCCGACCAGCAAATTGTCTGTAGCAACGCTGGTCGCTCGTTTTCTTCCGTCGAGTTCATTAGTACAAAGTTTTGGGGACATGATGATTGACAAATTACAAAAACTCTACGTTTGAGGGACATAATCCTAGTTCTCGAATTTGGCATACTCACCTGCAGCAATACTAAAGTGAGGCAAGTGCCCATTTCTTCTTCGCAACGGCGTTTGCTTTAACTGAGATTAGAATCATTTTGAAAATTTTTGTAGCTCTATACTTTGTTTTACTTCAAGTCTGGGCGCAGCCGACGTCAACAAGGTCGAAAGCGCAAGTCACTGGGCCTTCTTTGTATATGATTGGTTAAGTGACGCTACAACACGTACAGAAATATACCTTTATGTGCATGGTGTGTGTCATGTGACGAACTCGGTGTTAGTGCTGATTTGATGCTGTTTGATTGGTCCCATCAGCTTGTAGCGTTGGCTGCGTCAGGACTTAAGGCGAAACAATTATCATAATAATATGTAACGTTAACATCCTAGACAAAAATTTCTGTGGTGCGGTGGAACCACTATAGCAATAACAATGAAATACTCCAACCAAAGCCTTTAAAAAGTATCCCAACGTTTCGAGACTTGTTCGGTTTCTTCTACGGGGTTCACCAAATCGCGCTCGGCTTTGGTTGGTGCATTTCATTTTTATTATTATTTTTATTATATTCTGCACTCCACCGCAACGCTAATACCAACTACTTATCGTGTTTCTCTTTGAATCAATAGCGTCAATATTTAAGTTTAGACCCGTGGGCTGAGCACCTTCTTCGGTGATTGCGTGTATGCAGTCTCTAGTACCTTAACAAATCTTGAGCTAGTTGGTACATACTGTTGGCAATCGGGTTCAGTGTTCTGCTGACCCGATTGCGAACATCGTTGACTTGAACAAATTATATTTAAAAGTCACTTGGGAAACTATTTTTTTTTAAACAAATTGTATTTTTTTTTTAACAAGGTCCGCGTGAACAACAGTAATATTAAATTGACAGTGATATCTGTTTACTCGCTCTCGCGTTTCGGAGCTGGCAGAGCTCCAGAGGCTCGCGTTCGGACTCCTGCCGCCCTCTCTCGGAAAGGGAGTGAATTAACGAAGCTGCTCGTCGATTAGGCGGGTTTTATGTTTTGCACCCGTTTACTGTCCCGTATTTTCCAATCACTTCTGACTACACTCCGCTTCACTTTAAGTCCGACCGCAACCGAAATAAACGGTCGAATGGAGGTAATCAAGCAGTCAAAAGAGTGCGCGTCGTCAGGGCGATCATCGCGTGTGCCTCGCTACATCGCCGACTTAAACGAACCACGCACAGTGATTCCGCTGCGATCTTGCGTTCTTTTTCTGCGCGCGAGTGGTACAAAGAATAGTCGCGAAACCATCAAATCTTTGTACTCCAGGACCGCGTTTCAATGTTCCCGCATATCCATGTACCGCGTAAATCGCCTGGTGTCGAGCAATGACCGCCGATGATGGCGCCGGTTGGCTTTCCATCTGCGATCCACCGTACTACACGAAAGGTCAGTGTTGGTGTATCTAAAAATTTCTACTGCCGCCTGAACTCCGCAAACAGACTTTTCCGCTGAGCACTGACGACGACGTATATTTTGGTCGCCAGTCCATTTCTTTCGGCATGGATATATCTCGGACTTGATTAGCAACACACAGGCTTCCCAATGGTCGTGTTATGCGCCGAGAAACTCAGGGAGAGTAGGTGACGTTAGGGCACGTCCGAACGCCGAGCTCTGGTTAGAATGATTAGTGAGTAGACCTAACGCTAGCTGCCTTAGTCTCCAATGCGCTCGTTGAACGCCATAGAACGCGAGACTAAACACAAGACGCCGGCGTTCCGCTTTCTAAAGCGTTTGACGAGTTGCAGTAGAGACAAAGGCTGCTAGCTTTAGGTCTACCCACTAATCACTCCAACCAGAGCTTGGCGGGTTGAAGCCCCCTCCCCCTCCCCCACCCCCGCGCGCTCTTGCCTCATCCTCTCCCTGAGTTTCTCGGTGCGCTGGAAAAGATAAAAAAATAACGAACTGTGATTCACAGAACAACGTCGTCTCATGGTGAAGCGGGTAAAATGTTGTCATCCTTGTTTGTACAATTTGTCATGTCGTTATTTTTGTCGACGAATCTGCGGGTCAGCATATAGTTTCTGTAAGCGCTCTATTTATTACTTGCCCGCGTAGCTCACCACCACCTGTTTCTTGTGTCCGTTCAGTCTCATTCGTGTACGCTACCTAGGGTTTATCGCAAACGCAACTGTGAGAGCATTGTTTTTAATGGGTAGCGTTCGAGCAAAAGCTTGAACTACTTTCCGTTCTCTTTCACTAAGACAGACTCGGTAAATTATGCTAAGACATGCTCATTTAAAAAAAAAAGAAAATCAGCACAGCTTCTGTAACTTGATACGCTGTACAAAGCGGGCACAGGACTGTTCACCACGTCGCACATTGATAACTACCCCTAAATGAGGAGTAAGCGACTTAAATCAAATAACGTGCCTTTATTAACAATAAGCATAAATTAAATCCCAGCGTGCTTTCCAAAACTTGTTTGGTTCGCCTCAGTTTTGATGTCTAGCATTAAAAAGTCCAAGCGACAATACACAAGCTTAAGCTCGGACAGGTTCAGCGACCTCAGCCGACACCTGTCGGCCATGTTGCAATTCTGCTCCAAGAAACAAAAAAGGAAAAATAAATACAATAAAATATTTCAATAGAGGGTGCTAACCGTATTTGGGGATGCTCTGAAAGCCTGTTTAAAAAAGGCTTCAATAAAATTACTTACTTACTGGAAGCTGATTTAGAAGTTTCCTACGGTGCGACTTAATATTTCTATTAGAACAGATGACTTTAGACTGCATAAAATCGGTTTGCCTTATTCGCAACAGTAATTGACGAATCTAAAAAAAGATAATTATTTCAGAACGTGGCACAATTGGTCACATTTTTCCAACTTAGATCGTGGTGGTTCGTACAGCATTCCCTCTGGAGGTGTACCATAATATTTGAGCCGGAAAAAAAAGATTCGACCATATTACTCAGATACCAATATAGGTGTAAGGGGCAGGGACGTTTTACAGTAGGGTTATCACACTGTAAGCTCTCGAGTTACCTTTTTGGAATGCGTAAGCTTGACAATGAGTAAAATGAAACGTGATAACATAGCGTTGCTGAAATAGCGTTAGGATTAACTCCGCACCGGAACCGAACCGGGAACGTACCCACAAAGAAACCCTTTTTGCCAAGCGTCTGCAGGAGAAGAAAATAGCGAGGTTCGTTTTACATTTCCGGTTCCCCTCTGCCATAGCGGTAACTAAAACGGTGCCACGACAACACTTTGGTAAAATGCAGTAATAATTCAATTCTACCACTCAGTAAAAGCTCTGTTATACCCCGACGTCGAGCGTAGCAAACGCGGCGTAGCGCAGCGCACACAGATACTGAATGGTCGTAGACACGAGTTCCTGCTCGCCGTCCAATGAAAGGTTCACGTTCCGCGCTGCGGTACGTTCGCTTCGTTCAACGTCGGAGTATAACAGAGCCTTAAGTGTGGGACAGCGATCAGTTTTCAAGCCTTTTCTATATGGTTTACCTGTCCTGCAAACAGCACCACGTCATCCGCACCGGCGGTAATAAAAAAGAGGAAAGGATGGTCGACTGTCACCGTTGCCGCTGTTTCGGCCGACTTCCCGGACACCTTGACCACAGTCACACTCTCTGCTTCGCTCCCGGCTTCGTCAACCTGAAGCTTAGACACCTGGAGGAAGCCACTTACGAAGAGGTCCCTGTCGCCGTCGATGCCCGACAGATCGGCACCGCGACCGAAGAGGATATTGATGCCCAACTTCTTCAGTGGTCCTACGAGATCGTACCTGGAGGACAGCTTGAACTTTGGCAACGACAAAGCGACATTCCTCTTGTCCAGCCTTTGCAGAGTAGACCGCCACCTCGTCGCTGACAGCTTGCTCTTCAGGTCGTCTAGTCTTGCTGGCTCTAACGGAAGGAATATGATGAAACGGGCTCGGAGTTTCTGGTACGGCAACGCCACGACGTGGGTCTTGAGGTCCTCGTCGAAGTGGTACCCTGTCTTGAACCTCTTAAACATGAAGGTTGTTGGCACTGCGGTTCCATCTGCGTTGTGAAACGTGTCTATAGAGTTGAGTCGTTGTTCAAACTTGCTTGACCACAATCCCTTGAACCGGATTACGTTTACGGCGAGCATCACTGTGTTCTGGTCAAGGGCATCTGCGTCCAGAATGTGCGTTATTTTCTTGTTAGTCTCGGCACCCACCCACTGATCAATTTGGAAGGGCAGCTGGCCACTCATCTCCCACATGGAGGCATGGAGGACGTTGCCCTTGTCCAGGAGTTTCCTGAACGCTGGCCGTAGTTTCTTCTTCGTTTCTTTTTTGACAACGAACACGTTGGCCTGCTCTAAGTACGAGTTGTTGGCGTCGTGATGGTAGACCGTCTCGTAGAAGGCCTGGAACGACGACAGAAGATCTTCTCGACTATGGGTTTTTGTGGAGCTGAGGACACGTTGAATTTCTTGCCCCGTTTCTCCATTGGCCCCGCTGTTCAGGATAGCGAGGGGAATGAACGCACCGATGGGCGAAAAGACGGTGTTTGTTGACTTGTTTTGTGGTAGCTCTCGAAGCAAGTTGAGGGAAAATTCGGCATTTTGCCGTCTTGACTCACCCGTGCTTCCCACGACGCAAGCAGCTATGGTGACCAGAAGAAGAGATGTTGTTGTCTGTAGCATATCGGTGAGGCAGTCTCTTCAACAGCAGCGGTTGCTAGAAGAAGGAAAAATAATAATTTAAATCTGGATGAGCCTCGTACCGGCGTGCGGTCGTGTATCACTACTGCGTGGTGCACGTTAATGACCCCAGGCAAGCGGTTGTGCTGCACTGAATAAATTGCTCATCCACAGCTGAGAGACAAGCCGCCCGTTGTGGCATACTAACCTCAGGCTGTATAAACATACACACAAACACAAGGAAAAACAACACGATCATGAACTCTAATTGATGAGTAAATACTTCGTGTTTGAACCAGGATTTCATGTTTAACCTCTTCTCGTACGTCATTAAAGGGGCCTTGCAACTATTTCTTCTGCTGCAGTAAGTACCGCTTGCAATTATTCCTCGGAGTTTATAACATAAGAAACGCCCATTAGTTAAGTCAATGGCTATACGCAGATACGGAAGAGGGGTTTACTTGAAAACGCCTTCTGCGAGGGAACAATGAGAAAAGAAAGGTCATGGTGCTTGCCCCTACACAGATGGCGTTTTCTAGCTAAGCAATTTTCGATACTTTGTCATTCGATCGATGATCTCCGCAGCGTTCAATTCACCCCGTGCGCTGTGGGAAAGACTACGGTCATAAACAGCTTAAAAAACGCGGGGCGTGTCGAGCATTTTATTACCGCTCCACACCCAACGGGATTTCGCAGCCGATAAGATTACCGAAGAACCAATCAGAAGGCAAGATACGCGATCCTCATTAACCGGCGTTTCTTCGTCTGTCAACGATTATAGACGCTCAAAAAGATCTTACACCCTTAAAGAAAAACTTCGCGAATTTAATTTTTTGCAGAACACGGAGATAGCCAATCATGGCGGTTTAGGTCCGACCACAGCGCGACCCTAAGACCCGAGGAAGCCAAGCCAAGCACTGCAGGGTCGAAAAGTGCATTACCACGGCGCTGGTTTTCTTTGCGTGTTCGCTTTCACCGGCCAACTCAATCGCGCACGGAACAAAGCGCGGGATGGAGGCGCATTCCCTCTGTGCGTAATTGATTGAATCGATGATAGCAAACGCTCAAAGACGGTCAACGCCGTGGCGATGCACGTTGCCGCTGCTTGATTGAATTCATCGTATCGAAGCGTCGGCTGCTATTGGATTCGAAGTGAAATGCAGTATAGAGTTCAGTCGAATATTCGCTGGTAATGCACCAACCGCCGCAAGCTTATTCCCTCGATCTTCCTGCAGTCATCACCCTCTGAGATCTTGTAAAGTCTTCATCGAAAAAAAAAATGAAGAAAAGATGTTTGATTATTTTTAGACTCACAGTACAGTTAATCCCAGCATACTGCACCAGCAATGGCGTCCCGCTGTTGTACTCCGCAGGCTTCGCGGGGTCGGCCGGTCTCGCACTAACGAACTTGCCTTTAGCCTGCAGCTGCCGCGCAGTGAGCGTGAGAAGTGGCAGCTTTCTTTTCGTGACTTCGGAGAACCCGCCGCGCGAGGCTCCTATGCTTCGCTCCTCCCTAGTCGGACAGTGCGGTGGGGACTACACGTTCGTTGGACCAGCCGTACGTCCAACGTTCGAGACGTGATCACGCCTCTCGGCCACGCGGGAGAGCCGGGTCACGTGAATGAAAGGGTGGCAGCTGATTGGTCTTGGGAAGCGCGTAGCTTTCACCGCACTGTCAGCTAAGGGGTGGACGAAGTAGAGCAGCTGTCGTTTTCCGCTTCCGTCAGACTTTCCCTTTCAAATGAGTTCTCGCGTGCAAGTGGCGAACGAACGGGCATCCACAAAAGCGCCGCTGTAGATCGTAAGCACAATTAGTTTTCTCTGGATTTTTGAAGCATATAGCGAACGTCGAGTCACCTAAAACCGGGGTCACACTGATTATACACCTTTCCCTCAAGGGCGCGGCCATCTTGAATGTCGTCACTTCTGGTATGCGGTAAAACATCGTTTTGATTTCTCTACGCCGCTGGAAGGTGTATGCGAAAAATGCGTCATTGTCAAACATTCTTGTTTTGTGTCACCTATTATTTATCACAAATTCCAACAGGTTTAAATGCTGTATTATTTTTTCATCCCGCATACCAGATACGGAACCAACTTGACGGAGAACGACAGGAAACAGAAAAAGTCTATACATCAAAGAAAAGACAGTCTGCATACCGATTCGAACGCGAGTCGCCGCAAGATCCGTGCTTCGAATGCCGCATGGCAATGAGCTCAGGAAACTTAACACGTAGCATTTGAAGCACGGAACTGGCGGTGAGTCGTGTTCGCAGACTGTCTTTTGTGTGATGCATGAGTAGCGCGTGACCCCGGCTTTAGAGTTAGACGCCACAGTTCGGGATTTCACCGCTTAAAATTGATTGCGCGTGTGAAATCGCTAAACATAGAGAAAACGATCTTCTTATTCATTGTAACGAGAGCTTGTAACGAGTTGCCGATCAAAATTTCATTGGCTGAGTGGAAAACGCATTACAACTCTACGAATCCAACTCACTGCTCTCTGTTTGCTACTTGAAAACCGGGTTCAAACTGCCCATACACCATACAAAGTAAAGACAGTCTACGAGTCACCGCGATATCCGTGGTTCGAATGCCGCGTGCCACGTTTCCTCCTTGAACTCATTGCCTTACGGCATTCGAAGCACGGATCACGCGGAGTCTCGCGTTTTAACATCGGTGCAGACTGCCTTTTGTATGATGTATAAGCAGTGTGACCTCGGCTTGAGACTTTATTTTTTCTGTCAAGTGTTTTATGGGATTGCTCGTGTATAGACCTTTTCTGTGTACTCTCGTCCCCAGCCACCTAATAGGCGTAACCGGTATGGGCGACGAAAAAATAATAAAACGTTTCAACCTGTAACTAGCAAAAAAATAAGGTGGAGGCAAAACGATGTGTGACGGTTACGCTTATATCCTAAGTGTCTTCTACTGACGTGGCAACGGCAAAACAATGTTTTCGCCCATACTGGAAGTGACGACAGTTCAAAATGGCGGCGCCCTTGAAGAAAAAGTCTATAGTCGCCGACGGCTGAAAAAAAAAAAAAATCGGGGCATGGTCTATGTGAAGCGCAAGTTGGTCTGCCCCTTGCGCAGGATTCCGGTGACGTCCGAACACCGAGCCCTGATTGGCTTAGATTGAAGGATAGTGGGTAGACCTGAAGGCAGCTAACATTCTACCCACTATCATCCCGATAAGAGCCAATCAGGGCTCGGCGTTCTGACGTCACTGCAAGAAGCAGACGAACTTGCATTATGTTCACGATTTATGCTGCAAAAACTGTTCTTCGCCGGTCTTATCGACCAGTGCCACAGTTCCATTGGTTGCCAAGGGAGTATAAAATGCTGGGCATTCGCCACAACCGGCTGTTGTTAAGTTGGAAGTGACTGTGTATAGCACAAATTGCGCGAGGAAACAGGAACAAATGTTACCTGGCGCGCCTAAGAAGACTGCCACAGACGTATAGGATTCCGTGTTTTCGCTAAATGCCGATAGACCCCAAAAATGAAACCATGCTATGGTTTTATTGAAATAGGGTAAACTGAAAAACCCTGAATTGTAGGTGTCCTTGATTTCGAAAAACCGTAGCTTTGCGAAAAGAAGATTTTTATATGCAGCTTTTGTGCGTGTTGACCCGGCCTCCACCGTGCTGTCCGCGACGCTGCTTTTTTTTTTCTTTGGGACCACAACCCTTTAACGTTTGTACCCCCTCTTATCGGTACCAGGTGGTTTTCCAAGCATTAGGGTATCGAGCATGTTGCCTGAGTTCTAGGAATCTTATGCCCGTGTCCTATTTTCTTCGAAATAAGTCCCGAGACACACCGATTTTTTATCGCATACCAACACTAGACACCGAAAAATACGGAATTTGTGGAATTGATTGGACCCCAGAAAAAGCACACCCGAATAGACGAAAAAAAAAATAAGAGAAGTCCGAAAACACAAAACACAAATCGTAATCCACACACACACACAAAAAAAAAGTTCGTTCTCGTAATAAAAGTATATATATATATATATATGTTTGTACGGGTTAAAATTAAAAAAAAATTACAATGCTCCTATAATGTTTAAATAGAGACTATTGCTGCCTGCAACGAAGTAAATAGCGGATGTTCTTAGGGCAATGTTTCTAGAAACTTTTTACGGGTTACAGTACTAGAACCCTTGCGATAGTCACGTGCCGATTATTGGAAGGTCGGAACCACTGCACAAAGGCGGAGCCAGTGACATCGTTGAACATGAAAGTATTTCCATAAAATTGAGCCTTGGCCCGCCCCCCCCCCCCCCCCCCCCCCAAGTTGGTACAACATACTTCAGGATTAAAAACAGCGCAAAAGACGAACGGCCAGACCAGCGCTGCGAACGTGTCGCTTCTTCGTCTGGTCCTTCGTTTCTTTGCGTTGTTTTTAATCCCGAAGCAATTCCATGAGATAGCCAAGGTCGGAGCTCGGCCAAAGCAAGCAGTCGACGACAAGCAAACAGTGTCGAAAGTGCAACCTCACTGCACTCATGACCTTTTTTTGTGGGTGTGCTGTTTTGCCTTCTAATTCAATCCTAGGCATAAAGAGTGCCGGGACATTGAGGTTCTAGTCCGCTATTGTGCAGAGTTTCCATAGCGTCAACAGAGGGAAGTTTTTCAAAAGGGTTCTATTGCGACATTCGCACGTTTGAAAATTTTCTGAACATGGGAATAAATTCTGGAAAAAAAAAAAAAAAGAAACAATTTGATACCCTCTAAAGTTACTGATAGCTTTAGAAGCTGAATGTTATGGTTATGCTTCTTCCTTTGTGATGCATTTTTTTGGCGTTTGTTTAGGTATCGGTGACAATAGTTACAGCCCGCAAGAAAGCTGGAAAATTCCAGATTTTTGCGTAGAGCCTTGGACGACAGAATACCGTAATGAAAAGTTCTAGTTTATTATGTTGAAATGATTATTTCCTTCCGGCACTGATAATCGTTCCTTCCGTGGATTGTTTATAAATAATCAAATTCCACATT